TCCTCTCCTCATCCTTTCCTCCTCCTCCCCATTCTCCCTTGCTCCCTCCTCCTCCTCCTCATCCTTCCCATTCCCCTCTCCTTCTCCTTCCATTCTCCTTCTCCTCCTGCTGCTCACCTTTCTTCTCCTTTCTTCTTCATCCCCCTCTTCGACTCTTCCTTATCCTCTTTCTTCCTTTCTCCCTTCCCCCCCCTCCCTTCTATTCTTCTTCATCGTTTTCCTGTTTCTTTTATTTTATCTTTTTTTCTTTTCTTCCCTCTCTTCCTCTTGGTTCACTTCACTCTCTCCTCGTCCTCTTCTTTATCCTCTTCGACTTCCTCCCCGTTCTTCTCCCTTTTCCTCCTTTTTCCTTTTCCTCTTGCTGCTGTTGCAGCTGTTGCTCCTCTTCTTATCTCTTTTCTTCTTCTTGCTGTTCTTTTTCTTCTCTCTCCCCCTCCCCTCCCCCCCCTCCCCTCCCCGCGGCCGGCCGACCTTGGAGCCGGACCACTTCGCCGGTCCGCTCGGCCGCCGCCAGCCTCCCCGGCGCCGCCCCGTCGCTCTGTCCTGCGACTTTCTTTTTCTCCGGGATTCGCATCACTTCAGCCGCCGTGGATGCTGGCGCAGGCACTTGCATGTCGCGACTACGTTCACTATCACAACTGAAGTCATCATCACTTAGTTCACCACAACGTCATTCACCATCAGACTCAGTTCACCACAACGTCATTCACCCTCACTTCACTAACTAGCTCTTCATTCACCATGAACTTCTTCGCCTCCGCCTTATTCACCATCGCTTGCCAGTCACGTGTGTGCAGAGAGTGTTTAGGTTCATCATTCGTTTCGATTTTCGGTTGCTGCTCGTGTTTTCGTATCTGAGCTTTGGTTTTTAAGGCCATTCTTAGTCTTGGTATATTTTGATTGCTCGCTCTCCTACTCTCTCTCCTCGTCTCTCAGCCTCTCTCTCTCTCTCTCTCCTCTCTTCTCTCTCTCTCTCTCTCTCTTCTCTCTCTCTCTCTTTCTCTCTCTCTCCTCTCCTCCTCCTCTCCCTCCTCCTCCCTCCCTCCTCTCTCCTCCCTCTCTCCCTTTCTCCTCTCCTCTCCTCTCCCTCTCTCTCCTCTCCTCTCCCCCCTCTCTCCCTCCCTTCTCTGTCTCTCTTCTCCTCCTCTCCCCCTCCTCTCTCTCCTCTCTCCTCTCCCCCTAAGGCCTCGTCTCTCTCT